GTAAATGTGTGGTGTTAGAAAAGCAGGCTAAGTTGTGGGCTGGTTGTAGAAGGAGAAGGAAGCCCAGAGGCCAGTGCAAGCAGGCAGCCCTGAGCTTGCACATCATCTGCACTCTCTGCAGGTTCCTGTCCTTGAGCACAGGCCCTGAGGTGACCTTGATAATAAGTGCAAGGCAGAGGTGCTGCTGAGAAAGGAGAGCCCTGTGGTGGGGAAGACAAGAAACTGTGAGTGCCCTGAGCAGGTGCTGTGTCCATCCCCTGTGTGCCAGGTGAGCTGGGGCTTTGCTGCAGAGCTGCGGGCGCTGATTTGAGGGTCTCCAAGTGCTGAGATGGTGGGCACCCAGGAACACAAACTGTGCCTGGCCACGGAGCCTGCAAGGAGGAGCAGAGACAGCCGTGGCAGTGTGGGGGGCCAGGTTGTCCCTGTGCCTTCCCCTGCAGGCCCTGGCTGTCCCTGCTGGGCCCCTGTCCATCCCCATCAGGTCCCTGCACAATCTCCTCTCCAGAGCTTGACTCACTGCAGACTTTGCAGGGAAATCTGTGCTGGCAGCTGCATCCTGAGCCTAAGGGCAGTTTGTATCCTCGAGTGCTGATCTATCCTGGGGACCCAAGGGATTCTCTGCCATTCCATCTATGCAGCAGGAGTCACCCTCCTGCCCTTGACTCCCTGCAGAGGAACAAGTGCCATGTCTCTGTTTGGGAGAAGCCAGATGCTGCCCCTGGGCCATCAGAAGTGGTGCTGAAGCCTCTTTCAGCCCAACCCCGGGTGCAGTTTTCTCATCCCCTCACTGAGTTCCCACTCCCCCAGCCGGCACTGACCAACCAGGTCGTTTGGCACCCGTGGTTTGGTGGTTTGGAGAAACAGCCTTGAACTGGCAGGGGGCCAGAGAACCTCCAGTAACAGCCCTGGAAAGTTTTAAATGACACTACATTAATACAGCTTTTGATTAGAATGTAGCAACTCAATCAAGTGCTCATGAAATGACCTCACTTCCATCATCCTCCCAATTAAACACATTTTTTTGGGCTGAATCTGCTTAAATCTCAGTGGTTTGGGTTTTTCTGGACTGAATCTTGGTGTTTTGGAGGTTTTTATGGTCACAGGATGCCCGGTGAGCTCTAGAGATGGACTTGGGCAGGAGGAACCCCCAAGCCAACGTGCTCAGCCCTTGTTTTCCCCCCCATCAGGATTTGTCCTTCCCAAAGGTTGGGCGGATGGAGGAGGAGGCTGCGAGGAAGAGGAAGATGCCTTGGGCCCCCCAGGCAGGTGAGGAGGAAGTCAGTGTCCCTTTGGGCGGGTGTTGTGCTGGCTCTGTCAGCCCAGCATGGCCCCGGCTGCAGGACAACCCCGCTGGCGCCGCCGTCCTGCCGGGGCCGGAGTTGGGGGGATGTCCTTGGCCTTCCCTGTGGGCCGGAGGCAAATCCCCTGCCTGTCCTTCTTGCTTCCTGCCCCAGGCCCCGAGCTGAGGACGGAGAGCGCGGAGGACAAATCCCCCCGTGAGACCCTGGTGGGAGAGGCCGTTTTGAAGGGCTCCACGGTGCAGGAAGGCAGCGGGGAGGAAAAGGGCCGGAGATCCCCCCGCAGGAGGGGCTCCAAAGCCAGCCCAGGGTGCTCTGAGGAGGAAAGAACCAGCCTGTGCCGGGAAGGCGGCCAGAGCTTGAGCAAGAACTTAAAGGTCGTTGTCCCAAGGCAACATCCCACTAGAAAGGAAGCCTTCAGGTGCTTGGAATGTGGGAAGAGTTTCAGGAACAACAGCCACCTGATCCGACACCAGCAGATCCACACAAGGAAGCGGCCCTACACGTGTGCGGAATGTGGGAAGAGCTTCAGAGACAACTCTGATCTCCTCAGCCACCAGCGCATCCACACTGGAGAACGGCCCTACACATGTGAGGAATGTGGGAAGAGCTTCAGTGACAGCTCCAACCTCCGCACCCACCAGCACATCCACACTGGAGAACAGCCCTACACGTGTGGGAAATGTGGGAAGAGCTTCAGGCAGAGCTCCACCCTCCGCTCCCACCAGCGCATCCACACCGGGGAACGGCCCTACACGTGTGGGGAATGTGGGAAGAGGTTTCAGACCAGCTCACATCTCCGCAGGCATGAGCAGACACACACGGATGAGAGGCCCTTCCGCTGCACCGACTGCGGGAAGGGCTTCAACCAGAACTGCAACCTCCTCACCCACCGGCGCATCCACACAGGGGAGAGGCCCTACAAGTGTGGGGAGTGTGGGAAGAGCTTTACCCAGAGGTCTCACTTGACCAGACACCAACGGACCCACCGGGGTAATAGAAGCCCTGTGAGTGCCCCAACTGTGGGAAGAGCTTCGGCCGCTGCTTCCACCCCAAATTTACCCCATGATGGGGAGGCAACCCCTGGAGTTCAAGGACTGTCAGTCCATCCCTTTCGACCAGAAATGGCCAGTCCCCTTTCCCAAGGACAGCTTCTTCCAACAGGACCCTTCTTGGGGGGAGTGTGGAGATTCCTTCCTTGGCTGGGGACCCCCCAGGGTCACTGCTGGAGGTTGAGAGCAGAGATCTCCCCACCAGCGTTGGTCTGGGGGAGTTCCATCCATCTCTAATTAAGAATTCTTGCTTTTGTGCCAGCTTGAGTAGAATTGTTTCAACAATTGCTTTAGTGTAGAGCACTGTCCTATCTTATCCTGTACTCCTGGTAGTTTTAGTGTTTGTATTGTACAATAAATAATTCTGATGAAGATCTTTTGTCTGATCATTTGTAACCCTAAATAACTCATTTCTATCAATAGATCTGATTTGCCATCATTAAAACCTGCGGGACAAAAGTGTTTCAGTCACAACTCTCTAATTCCTCTAAATTTAAAATGTTGGCAAGATTCATGGCTGAGATTGGATCCAGCAGCCCCCAGCACCTCACAGGAAGTTGGGATCTCAGGAGAACAACTCCCTTTCCCAAAACCTGGTGCCAAAGACCCCCATGGGACCGCTGAACCCACCAGACCACCCTCCCTTTTCCACCCTTCCCCCTCTTCCTTCCACTTTTCCATGGTCCCCTCAATCCCCAGACCAACCAGCATCCCTTTTGGGGTCCCAATCCCTACTTTTTTCCCCCCTCTTTTACCCCTTCCATATCATCCCCCACTCCCCAGCCCCCTCATGCTCAGTTTGGGGGTGCCACCCTCCCCTCTTCCCACTCTTCTGACCTCTCTTACCCTTTCCCATCATCCCCCAAACCTCGAGCCCCTCCCCCCCCACCTTTGGGAGGTCCCACTCTCCTTTCACTCAGTTTGGGTTTCCAGCACCCCTTTATCCCCTCTGACCCCCCTTTTCCCACCGACCTCCCCCTTCCCACCCCCTGCTCACCCGAGAGCTCCTCTCCCGCAGCCGGGGGGACTCTCAGCACCACCAGTGCCCAGAGAAGTCCCCCCAGAAAAGGGGTTGGGTGGGGTCCTGGGTCGGCTTTGAGTGTGTTTGGGGATCCTTGAGAGGCTGTGCGGATGTTTTGGTGGGGTCCCAGCACCTTTTGGGGTGAGCTGGGTGCTGTATTGAGGGGCAGGTGCCCTCCCAAAGCTCCCCTAGAGCGGGTTGACACGAGGGGACAGTGAGGGGTCCCCATTCCCGATCCATCCCGGGGCCGCTTCTGCCCTTCCCAAACTCGGCTCCTCCCTCCGGGTCACCCCACGCCTCCCCCCCCAACTACCCCCGAATAACCAGGACTGGGGAGAACTGGGAAGCTTTAGTGGGATCACTGGGAGCAGCCGGGCGGAGGCAGAGTGACAGCAGGGGAGGGGGGACACACGACCCCCCCAAAATCCTCACAGGGACAGGAGGGGTCCAGGCTGGGCCCGAGGCCCCGGGGAGGGGCTGCGGCCGCCGCCGGCTCAGGAGCTCTGTGGGGAGAGAAAAGGGGGTGACAGCGGGGTGGGGGGTCCCCGGGGGGGCACAGACGCTCTGGGGGGACACACGACCCCCTGGGACCCCCCTCACCTTCTGGCGCAGGTAGAAGCCGAGCCCCAGCGCCAGGGAGACGAAGGCCAAGAGGAAGCCCCCGGCCCCTCCTTGGCAGCAATTGCTCAGGCTGATGGAGCCCGGCAGGGCCGGGGCCGCCGGCGGTGTCCGATCCCGGCAGGAAGCGGGGAGGGCCCGGCGGGGTCTGAGAGAAATAAATCAAGGCAGAACTCTCTCTTTCTTTTACCCTCTGGGCAGTGACCATCAAGAGCTGTCCCTGCTTCACAGCAGAAGCTCCACACACCTCAACAAAGTCTGTGGAAGAATCTACTCTATCAAAGTTGGCCCTGGGCTTTTATGCTTATCCAGTGATGGATCTCCAGTCACATATTCCCAGGCCAGTGAGCAGCTGATCTGTCAAACTCTGCTTCCAAAAGCAGCATGTGTGTTGGAAGGTTGGGGAACCAGGCTGGGTTTGGCACAATTCAACACTAAACCAACCCCTTGGCACCAGCAGTAACTCCCCACAGAGAGCTTGCAGTGCCTGCATTCTCCCATCAGATTCTTTTCCAGGTAGAACATCCTGCTACAAGGGGTCTGTTACTACCCACCCCAGAAAGGGGGGGGTAACCAGGTTCTTATTAATAAATCCCTTGGGGTGGATTAGAGTGAAATGAAACTAAATAATCAGTGTTTGAAAACATATATATGTAGGGTTTATTTTAGAACAATTTTGTTTCAAAGGTAAACAGGTATGTTGCCATTTTGGGTGTTATCATCTCTATCTCTCATCTACAGCAATATGGCATAAAGAGAACCTTTAGGGAAAATGCATAAGGGAGAGAAAGAAAGACAGGATAAGGGTAAGGGAGAGTAAAGGAAAGCAAAGCTGAGAGTGGAAAGATGTCTATAGTCACCGCCCACGGGGTCCAGCGATGGAACTTGGGAGTTGCAGCTCCAATGTCTGTCAGTTGAAGTGGTGGCCTTGATCCATTGGGGGTGGGGGAGGGAAGCCCCCACACTCCAAGAAGTTATGAGTTATTATATCCATGGATGGTGTCCCGGGCCATGCCTCGAGCCTCCAAGGTCTGCTGGGCCTGCGCAGAGTTCCCGTGAGGGGCCTGGTAAACACGGCTCTTCTCACCTTTTCAGGGCTTGACACCTTCAGCAGCACTGGCAGGGGGGATGGGTCCAGCTGCCTCTTCCCAGCGTGCAAAAGTGCCCTGGCAATCCCAGAATGCATAAATCATTGTGGCAGTTTGAGAACCTCAAAAATCCAATTTCCAAGTCCTAGCCCCCCCTCCCCCAATTTGTTTCAGTGTGAGAGGGTTTTCAGACAAAACACAGCTCAGTATGGGGGGAAAGGAATTATATTACAGTTTATTACTTACACAAATAAATACTATAATACATTATATACACAATTTTAACTCTCTCTCCTATGGAAAAGCAATATATTTACATTAGATCAAATCCCTCCTTTCCCTCCGATAAAAGTTCTGAAGGGAAGATGAAAAGATCCTTTCCACTTTCAGGGCAGCAGTGTCTCTCCTCTTCAAGGCAGCAGTCATAGCTGGATTTGTCAGAACTGGAAAATCTCTCTCTCTCTCCATTACAACACAGGGGTCTTCTCTCACCCCTCGGCCCTTCAGCTCCAGCTGGTCTCTCTCCCATGGACTGCGAAAGCAGGGACAAGGCTCACCTCTCCACAGTCATATCACGGGGTACTGGGCACCCCTGACAGTCCCTTCCTCAGGGGATTCAAGTTCCTCCTGAGTCAGAACGTTTAGGGCTTTCAGTTCAGTTTTTGCCCCAAGTGTTCTAGCAGAGCTCCTTTGCTCCGTCTCAAACTGTCAGCATGGCGAAGGGGGGCAGGAAGGCCTCTTCCCCCCTCCACATTCCTCCTGGCTGTCCTACTCCAGCTCCAGGACATCTCTGAGCTTCTCAGCTTCTCTCTCTCTCTCTCTCTAGTTGCTGCTGCATTTCAGGACTCCCTTCAGGTGGAAGTCCACCCCCTCCTCCCAAGAGGGGTCTCAAAGGGTTTGTAGAAATAAAGCCAGGCTCACCCCAAACAGTCTCTGCTGAGCCTGGTGCTCTGTCTCTCCGTCGGGCATCTCTGTGTCTCTCAGCTTGGCTCTGTACCACCTCACTCCTGCTGACTGTCTTCTTGGCTCTCAGCCACAGCTCTCTGTTCGGTGCTGTCTCTGCCGCCGCTCCTGCTGCCCACTCACAGTGGAGAAAAACTCCCTTGGCTCTTGGCCACAGTACTCGGCCCAGTTTAACACTGTTCCGACTTTCTACAGCCCCAGAAGGGGGGCTGGGGGGTCTTGGCCCCCAGCGGGGCTCCCTGGCCCCTCTCTCTCCTCGTGGTCTCAGACCAAGACTGCTGCTCTTCTTTCAGCTACGTAATCTCTTCTTTTCCAGCCTGTTGTGATATGTTTAATTTTGCAGGGGTGCTGATTGGGTCAACACCAAGAATACCACCTCCTGGGGTTAACCACTTTCCAACTCCAGGGGAAAACCCTTTTTAACCCAGGACAGTCATGAACCATTTCAGTCTCTGACACTCCTCACCTTGGCCAGTCAGTTCTTGGGAATAGCCCTGGCAGCCCAGCCCCCAAGGGCACACGATGTGCTGCTGGGCTGGAGAGGACCCTCCTCAGCCTGGGCAGCAGGGCTGCAGGGGGGGATTCCCTGAGCCTCCCCAGATGGGCCCTTCCTGCCCACCAGCTCCTGCTCCAAAGGGCTTCCACACACCCTGGGCCACTTGTCCCACTTGGGCACTTGAGCTGCCCCAGGGCATCTCTGGGCAGTGGCCAGCTCTGGGACTGCTCTGGCAAGTCATGGCCTGAAGCCACGAGTGTGGAATTTAGGAAATAGTTGAAATCTCTGCAGAACAGAACTCTTGGTGACTGCTGAAGGCTTCATGAACAGCATTGCCACATCTTTTCTTTTTTTTAAATTCATCAATTTTTTGTAGGCAAACACCAGGACTATGAGACCTGGAAAGAGCAGCTTTAGACACGGGCCTGCTGCAGCAGCGACTTCCGGGATCGAGCAAAGCAGAAAAACAATGGCCACTTGTGTTATTTATTGTAGGGGTTGCCCCCCCTGAGCTGTGTATTTTTCCCGACCCACGGGGGTCCTGGGGGTCAGCCATGATGTTACCTGAAAGCTGGGACTGCTCAAGGCTGGAGCTCAGCCCCAGCACAGCCTCTCCCAAAGAAGGACAGGGCAGAGGGGCTCTGGGCTGTGGGCAGCGAGGGCCAGCTGGGCTGGCAGGTGGCTCCAGGGCACCTCTGGGGCTGTCAGAGAGGGGCTGTTCCAGGGCCCTTTGGGCTTCTGGGGGCTTCTTTGGTCTGATTCTGTAGAGGAGACATAGAACTGAGGCAAGAGCAGCAGGACTACAGCTCCTGGCCCCTCAGATGGACCAATGCGGCCGCTCAGCTGAGCTGTGCCAGAAGACGACAGCTCCCAGCATGCTGAGGATTCTGATCCTTCCAGCTGGATCCCTGTGGTAGTTTAGTCTAGGCCTTCCTTGGTGAATCCAAGGAATCCCCCTGGGTGCCATCCTCCCCCCTTCAGCCCTAAGCCCCCTCAAGACTCCACCAGCCTGGTAGGGCCACTCAGCCACCCCTGGGGCAGCTCGGGGTGCCGCGCAGGGGCCTGGTGTGCGGCGAGGGCCTTGGGAGGGCTCCTGAGCAGCCCAGTGCTGGAAGAGCTGTTGAGTGGGGAAAAACTCTTGCTGGTCAGTGGGAGAAAGAGAAAAAGGCGACAAAAGCCATGGTTTCTTTTAAGCTTGAACAAACGTTATGCATTTAATGTGACTGAAGGGCTCTGAGGCCAGGCTCTGCAGTGTGGGGACAGGAAAGGGATGTCCGGGGGGCACACAGGGCTGTCTGAACATGGGGCTCCTTGGGATGTCCCGAGGAGACATGAGAGTAAAGTGGGGCCTGGAGATACCCTGAGGGCAGCTGGGCGCCCAGGGCTGAGGCAGGCCTGTGTCCCCAGGGACACCCTGCCTGTTCCAACCTGCATGGTGGCTCCCTGGGACCCATTGCTGGGGGCAGGTGCCATGTCAACAAGCACTGGGACCTGTTGCTAGCAGCTGGCAGCATGTCACAGAGGGGCCCTTTGTGACACCCACTGCAGCAGGTGTGCTCAGCACGACCGTGGCCCACGGTGGGTCAGTGTCCGTCAGGACGGCGACCGGACAGGAGAGGAGTGCGGTGCTGGCGAGAAGCCCCCGACTGCAGTCCACGTCTTGTCCACGACCCTTGGTGGCCCCGTGGGAACGCGGAGTTTGGCTGCGGCACTTTGCCAAAGTGTTTTTGCCTGAGGCACTTGGGCCGAGGCCTTTTGGTCGAGGCGCTTTGCCTGAGGCACTTTGCCTTGGTCTTTTGGCTGAGGCACTTTGCCTCGGCCTTTGGGCTGAGACACTTTGCCTTGGCCTTTTGGCTGAGGCACTTTGCCGAGGCCTTTTGGCTGAGGCACTTTGCTGAGGCCTTTGGGCTGAGGTGCTTTGCCTTGGCCTTTTGGCTGAGGCCTTTTGCTGAGGCCTTTTGCCTGAGGCACTTTGCCTGAGGCGATTTGGCCGCAGCATTTTTCCCGAGGGTGTTCGACTCCACCATTCGGACGCCCTCCGTAGGCAGGCTCCCCTGTGTTCTTTGATTCACAGGATGGAGAAGAGACCCCCCGCCTGCCCCAAGCAGGCCTGGATGGAAGACAGCTCTTCCCAGGAGAGCCGCTCTCCAGGTCTGCAGCTTCCATCCTCCTGTGAGGTGACCACCATGCAGCCCCTGAAGCTGGGTGAGTGAGGGGCCCTGTGGGGCTGGGCAGGGCTGGTGCCCACCACCACACCCTGTAGCACACCAGGATCCCACTTTCCTGGCCAGCTGACAATGGGGGTCCTGGGGTCAGCCGTGATGTTGCCTGAAAGCTGGGACTGCTCAGGGCTGGAGCGTGGCCCCAGCACAGCCTCTCCCAAAGAAGGACAGGGCAGAGAGGCTCTGGGCTGTGGGCAGCGAGGGTCAGCTGGGCTGGCAGGAGGCAGCCGTGCTGTGGGAGCCTGGGCATTTCCTGCCTGTCTGCCATTGCCTTCCTCAGCCTGGGGCACTGGGCCTTTCCCAGGCATGGCAGCTCCTCTGCCGGGCACCCTCCAGCCAGGAGCTGCAAGGGAAGGCTGTGCCAAGGCAGTGGACAGAGAGCTGGGTGGAGGGCAGATATCCTTTGCTCCCTCCTCTCGCTGGACCCTCTGCAGCTCTCCCTGCTCTTCCCCCCCTTAGATGCCAGCTGGTTGCCCATCTACAAGGAGGAGCAGGAAGCTGTTGATTCCATCCTGGCCTTTGTCACCAGCCCCAACAAGGTAACTGCAGCCAGCTGGAGGGCGGCTGTGCTGCTGTCTGCTGGCAGGGGCTGTGCTGCCAGGCTGCTGGAGGGGTGCTGGCATGGCAGGGCTGCTTCTCCTGCAGGGCACTGCACCCCCTGTGCTGCAGTCCCACTGGCTGTGTCCGCCCACTCACAGTCCATGTTTGTGTCTCTGTCCCCCGGCTGGCAGGAGGAGAGAGACAAGGCCACATTTCTTCGGAGCATCTCCGTGCTGTGCCGAAGCGCCCTGAAGCATGGCCTGACCCAGGGCCTGGACCTGTTCTGCGACATGTACCAGCTGGCAGAGAACATCACGGTGAGGGCACTCTGGGCAATGTGGCGAAGGGAGCAAAGCCCCCTGGCACGGGCAGCCTGTGTGGACAGCGCTTGGGCGGGTCAGGGACTGGAGGCCCTGGGTGCTGGCAGCTGCCAGGTGCCATCCCGGTTTTGCTCTGCAGGCGCTGCTGGAAGAAGAACCAAGGGACCTGCTGCGCACAGACCTTCGGCATCTTTCCATGCTGGCTCTGGAGAAATTGAGGTACCTGCCCATCTGTCGTGGGCCCCCTGGCCCAGAGGTCCGATGCCACCCGCACGAGTCGTCGAGGGGCTGCTCCCAGCACCCGTGTGCAACCCGTGTCCTGCCCTCTCCCTGCAGCTTGGTGGACACAGCGCTGGAGGGCAAAGCCAAAAGCCTCCTCCGTGCGTGTTTCTCAAGTGTCTTCTGGCTGCCTGCAGAGAAGGAGATGCCAAAAGGGGACCTTGCCCTCTACATCAAGGTAAGTGCTGGGTGAGCTCCAGAGCACTCCAGCCCCTCTGGCCTGCTCCCTGGCTAGCCCATGCTGCCACAGGAGCAGTGATCCCAGGCAGGGCAGGGTCTTTCCCACCCTCGTGCCTCTGTCCCCTTCCCGTGGGCCTGGCTGCATCCCGTGCCACAGGCTGCTCTGCCCTCGCAGATTGTCTATGCCCATGTCTCTCCTGGGAAGTGTGGGCATCCTCCTCCTCCTCCTGTGGCACGGGGGGTTCAGATGGCTCTCCTGGGGCTGGGAGGAACAGCAGAATGACTGCCACTGCTCTCTGTGTTCCTTGCAGACCCTGAACTCCATGGACAGCATGCTGAGGACAATGGTGCTCAGCTTTCCTGCCTCTCGAGTCAGCGAGGAGCTGCAGGGCATCTTGGAGGTCTGGCACAAGCAAAAATGGGGGGAGTCCCAGAGCTGTTTCTCAGCCTGGAGGGGAGGGTTTGCCCACTCCTGGCTGAGTGGTGCCCAGAGCAGTGCTGAACAGGCAGAGTGCCCTGCAGGGAGGGTGCCCACCTCCTGTGGGGAAGCAGGGGCAGGCCCCAGGCTCTTGTGGAGCACAGGGGCTGCAGAGGGTGGCACCTGCCCTCCTCCTTGGCCATGAGGTTGGATCTGGACCTTTGTGCCCGACCTGGGGCAGACACCCCACTGCAGGCTTTGCTGGAGGGGAGAGGAAGCCTTGAGGGATGGGGCGAGTGCGGCCCAACAGTGGAGCTGTGCTGCTGCTGGTGTTGGAGTCTGCTCCCAGGGCTCACCCGCTGTTTCTCTTGTCCCAGCTGCTGCTGGACTTCACCAGATGCAAGAGAGAGGCTGTGAGGGAGAGGGCCATGGCAAGGATCGATGTGCTGGCCTGTGTGCTGTCCGACTATTCCACTCTGCAGGTAAGGACCAGGCCCCCTCCAGCCAGGCCATGCCCCCATCCCTGCTGCTCTCCAGGCCAGGGCTGCTGCCCACATGGCTGCTCTGAGAGACGGGGACGCAGGGCTCTGCAAAGCCTGATCTCCCCAGGAATCCAGCCCTGGGCAGACTCTTGGATGGGGGGCTTTGGCACCACCTTTGTGCCCTCAGCCCTTCTGCTCATGCCTCCCTCATCCAGGCCCATGCCAACGTCAGAAGAGGCACTGCTGGACCTGTCTGCTCTGGGGAGATCCAGCTCCCATTCCTAGGAAAGCTGCTGGGGCGTCTCATCCTTTTCCGGTTCTCTGAGGAGCCGACAAGCTGTGCAGCTTTCCATGCTCTTTTTGCCCTGGCTGAGTTCATCTGTAAGTAAAAAAGGCAGAGCAGTGCTGGGCTTCATTGCTCTGCACACAGACATCTCCTGAGAGATCTGCTTCCTGACCCCCTTTGCCCCTCCCAACTGCTTCCCAGAGCTTCCCAGCTGCCCCTTTGCTGCAGAGCCTGAGCGCTCTGCTCAAGGCCAGGATCTGTTTGCTGCTGCTCTCCTTCCTCCCCTTCCTTTCAGGATCTTGCAGCCCGCTGGTTTGTGGGCCCCACAGCCAAAGTCCCTCTTGACTTCCCTGTCCCAAAGCCACGTCTTCCCTGGTGGGGAAGAGCAGATCCCCCACCCTGGCTGGTCCCTCCAGTGCCTGTAGCAAGAAGCTGTTCCTGATGCCCTCCCAAAATCCTGGACTGCTCCTGTCCTGCCCCCTTGCCAGCAGATGCCAGGGCGGTTTGGTGAGCTTGCTGGCAAAGCTGCTCTGCCTTCCTGACTCTTGTGTGTTTGCCCCGGTGTTTAGTTGAATCCAGGCTAAAGGACAGAGCAGGCCAAGTCCACCGGAAAGCTGTGACCACCTCCGTGCTGTGTTCTCTGAGCCCCAGGGACTGTGCCAAGGTAAGGAGCTGTGCCCTTGCTGGGACTCCTGTCCGTGGCACCAGCAGGGCACTGCTGTGAGCCAAAGGACCCCGCAGCAGTGGGGCTGGCGTGCCCTCAGCTCCCTGGGGAGAGGGTTCCTGCCATCCTTGAGCAGGGATAGCACGAGGGCTGCACTCCAGTGGCCCAGCAGCAGCTTCAGCCCCAGCAGGAGCTCCAGTGCTCCTGGCCACCAGCAAGTCCCTGGTTCTCGGTGGGGCCAGCAGCCTGTGCCCATGAGCCCTCCTCCCCCAGCAGGAGGGCCCTCTCTGCTCATCCTCTGCCATGCAGGGACTGCAGGCACTGCTGCCAGCTTTGCTGTGGGCACTGCTGTCAGCAGTGGTGGGCACGTCTGGCCAGGGCCGCTCGAGCTGCTCAGCCAAGCAGCACCATCAGGGCACTCAGCGTGACGTGTCTTCCTTCCTTGCTGACGTAGGCCTTTGGAAAATACCTGCAGTCCCACGAGAGGACAGATGTCATCCTCGTGGCCATCGAGGCGTTGGGAGATGCCAGCATCCTCGACCAGCAGGTGCCCAGCAGCCTGCTGGATGTGGCCTTGGAGGACCCGGATGTCTGGCTGACAGATGTAAGTGGGCTGTGGCTGCATTGTCGTGCCCTTCAGCCCTCTTGGGCCTTGTTCCTCCCTGCATCCCTCCCTCCCGAGCACAGGGGACTTGGGCCCCCCCAAGCCACCTCAAGGCAGCAGAGAGGAATGGGAAGGGCAACTGAGCACATGGCTGCACTCCGGGGGCAGTGCCATCCTCACCTGTATTCCCTGCAGGCGCCCAAGATAGTCAGCAGCATCCTTGAGAGCCTGCCATACTGCAGCACACAGGCAGCGTGGGAGAAAGCGGAGTCACTGCTTCGCCTGATGACCAACCTGTACCCCACCACAGTGGTCATCCTCCTGTGCAAGGCGGCTCTTCAAGGAGACAGGTACTGGCCCTGATGGCCTTGAGGGTGGGCTTGTTCCCTGTGGGGAGAGGGACCCCGAGACTCTCTGGCTGCCAGAGCCAAGGAATGCTGCAGGACAGCCTGCAGAGTCAGGCCCTCCATCCCCCCACGCTTTCCAGCCCTGCTTCACAGCAGCCAAAGCTGGCCCAGCCAGCCCAGAGCCAGCACGGTGCTCCAGCCCCACGGGGAACACGCCCTCAGCCCCGTCCTGCCCGCGCGGGCAGGGCCCCCGGGGACGCGCAGCCAGGGCTCCAAGGGGCAGGTTCTGGGGGGCTGCTCCAGGCCACAGCCCTGTGGCTGAGGCAGCCCTGCTGACAGTGCTCTGCCTTCTCTGCCTTCCAGCACTGCGCCGGAGCTGTGGGAGCTGATGTCCTCCATGCCGGAGACGCTGTCCAAGATCTTGGAGGGCTTTGCCAACCTGCTGCACAGACAGTGCTTCCGCTGCTCCGCAGAAGGCCCCCGCACCCAGCCCATGGCTGTGAGTGACCACCAAAGGCCCTGGTCCCCTCCCACCAGCCCTGCAGGCTCTGCCGGCCCCTCATGGCTCTGTTTGCTCCTGCAGTCATCCTCCAGGAAGGCTGAGTGGGAGGAGTTGGCTGAGGAGCCCGACCTCGAGAGCCATCAGGGCTGTCCAAAGGTGAGGACGGCCAGGCTGCTGCTGGAAGGGCTCGTCGGGCTGTCGCAGAGAGCCGAGATGGTGAGCAGGGCGGTGTCAGGGGCAGCCCTGTAGGCAAACGGGGGCTGGGGCTGGGTGGAAAGCAGTGGCTTGGCCTGGCCTGGGACTCACAATGTGGGGTGACTGCTCCAAATGCACTCCCTGCCGTGGTAGGGCCTGGGGTGGCTACCTGAGGAGCTTTTCAGGCACGACCCTCTTCACCCAATGGACATTCTCTTCTCTCTACAGGCCAGAAACATTGAACTCTTCCTGCCGGGCATGATGAAGATTCTGCAAGTTGGCAGCGAAGATGCCAAGATGAAGATCCTGCTGGCCTTGCGAAATGTTCTGCGTCAGCTGAAGAAGAGCAAGGCCAGCTTCATCGCTGTGCAGCTTGTGGGGAGGCTCCTGCCCCTCTTTGACTCGGTAAGGCTGATGTGGAGCCTGAGCCCCTCAGATGGGCGCTGGGCAATGACAGCTGCCCTGCAGCCCAGCCCTGCGAGCAGCACTTGGAGCCAGCTCTGCTCCCCTGGGCTCTCCTGGGATGGCTTCTGGGCCGTGCAGCCCAGTGCTGCTTCTTCTGGGATGTGAGGCCGCAGCCGCTGCCCTCCCTGCAGCCAAGATCAGGGCCCTCTACACTGTGGGCAGGGAGCTGCTGTTTGCAAAGCTCCCTTTTCCTGCTTCCTGCCAGGAGTGCAGCGAGCTGCGAGAGCTCTCCATCCGCATGCTCACAGAGCTGCTGCAGTTGGTGGTCCGCAGGGATGAGAAGAGGATGAGGAAGGAGGTGTGGCGAGCACTGGTGCCTCTCCTCTTCCGCATGAGCGACCAGGTCCCCAGCGTGGCCAAGGTACAGGTTTGAAGGCTGAGCCCTGACACACAGAGGGCTGAGCTGACACCCCCAGGGCTCCTGGGCATCGGGGCAAGGGCAGCTGGCAGTGGGCAGCGCTCCCCCAGCACAGCCCGTGGGAAGGTCCGTGCGGAGCCAGCGCCAGCAGGGCCAGAGAAGCTGGCACGGCCCTGTGCAACACCTGCCCTGCCTGCTCCTGCAGGGCTCGGCAGCAGCCCGTGACCACCATAGCCTGAGCAGGGGCATCCCCACAGGCTGTGTCAGAGGCCAGGCCTTTGAGCTTCCACGCCTGTCCCCCAGGGCTGTCCCTAAAAGGTTCCCAGACATTTGGGCTAGGGCATGTCCCAGCTTCCTAAAGGTGGGATCCCCCCAGGAACAAAGCCAAGATGTCTCCTTGCCCAGGCCCCCGTGCTATCCCTGAGCTCATGCTGTCCTGCAGGCCTCCAGGGAAGCCCTTCTTGCTGCCGCCGAGCTGCTGAAGTGGAAGACGCTCAAGCACCTGCTGCAGAGAGAGCGGCTGTGGGAGCTTGGAGCGTGCTTGGTAAGGACAAGCTGAGGGGCCCGGGCTGGGGGAGGGCTGCCCCCATCCCATGTCTGGGCTGGGGGCTCTGCAGCTGGGCAGAGCCTGGAGCTGCATCCCTGTTGCTGCCCTCAAGAACAGAGCCCCAGGGGCTCTTCTGCTGGCCCCTGTCCCCTCCCTGTAGCCAGCAGGAGGGGAGGCCTCTCCGTCCCAGGAGGTGCTGGCGGGAGGCACTGCTCCAGCCAACTGCCCCAGTGACAGCCCTGGAGAGACATGCCTTGTTCTCTCTGCAGCTTCAGAACAGCAGGAGCAGGGCTGAAGACTTCATCCACCAGAGCCTGCCCTACCTGCAGGACCCTCAGGCCAACGTGCGCCTGGCGGCCGTCAGGTTCATCGGTGAGTGCCAGCCCCTGCAGTGCCTCTGGGGTAGCCTGGCCCCTGTGCCACTGCTGCCCCAGCAACGAGGGGCAGTCCTGGGACTGCCCCAGTCCCGGCCACCCCGGGCAGGGCCTTGCCTCCCTCTGCCAGCCCTGCCCACGCAGCGGGGCTTGGTGGCCGCCTTGCTCAGTCCCACTGCCCTGAGCTTCTGGGGACTCCTGGGCTCAACCCTGCTGAGGGGGAGGAGGGTAGGTCTGGGGACCCTGCTGCTGGGAGCAGGCTGGGGAGCAGGGGCTAATGGAGCTCTGTGCCCAGGACTCATCACACGGCGCCTGAGGGAGCAGACCACGGACAGTCAGGCTGACATCCTGAGCGGTGAGTGGGGAGCGCGGTCTGTCGGGAATCCAGAGGTTCTCTGCAGACGGGGGGTTTTATCTGGGCTCTGTTTCTCTCCGTCACAGCACTTCAGCCCTTGGAGAGAGACTGGGACATCTCTGTCAGCTCCCTGGCAGCTCGGACAGCCTCCATTCTGAGGAGTCCTTTCGTGCAGCAAAGACCAAGAGGCCTCCTGCGAGCACTGCGCTGCTGCTGGCCGTGAGCCCGGCAGAGGTGCAGTTTGCCTTGGCTAAAGGACTGGGGATGAATAAAGCTGCAACAACGTGCCCAAAGCCCTGGTGTCCTTCAGCTGCGCGGTGCTGAGTGTGCCGAGCCGACCGTGTCCTTCCTGGGCTGTCCCGCAGGCAGCGGGACGCTCCCCCCTCAGCACCCCTGGCCCCAGGCTTGTGGGACAAGCTGAGCCCTGGCTGGGGCTTTCCCCGGGAGAAGCCGCCTTGGCTAAAGGACAAACTGCTGCCCGAGCCTTCTCACCCCATTTCAGGGCCACTGCCAATGTCACCCTGCCCTCTGCCAGTGTGAAGCTATTCCCCTTGTCCTGTCACTCCAGGCCCTCGTCCAAAATCCCTCTCCAGCTCCCTTGGAGCCTCTTTTAGGCACTGGAAGGGACTGCAAAGTCACCCCAAAACCTTCTCTTCTCCAGCCTGGGCAGCCACAGTTATCCCTGTGTCCCCACACAGTGCCCGACTCTGTGACCCCTGTGTCCTCCCAGGCCCAGCACCCCAGGAGGTGGCACAGCAGCAGGCCCTGTGCTGCAGCTGCTACAGGACCAGGAGGTCACCCGGAGACATTGCCAGACTCCAGATTGTCCCACATCATGACCACTGCCTTCAAACTTCCCCCACAGCAGCTTGGGCTTCCTCCCCTCCCTGAGTCCATCCCCCCAGGCCTGCTGAGGTGGCATTTTGGGGGCAATCATGCTTATTTTGGGCAGTGGGATGTGTCAGCAGCTCTGGGAGATGGAGGGTGGCAGGTCTGGGGGGGGTTTGGGCTGAGTGTGGCTGCGGGGGTTGGCTCTCTCCCCGAGGGAATGTCACAGCTGCAGGACCCAAATCCCCCACTTTCCCCAAACTTCAGGCACAGAGCCCTTTAGTTTTCTGCAGGGGGCCTCAAATTTCATTCCTGATATCCCAAACCATCCCCACAGGCCTTGAATTGTAGCTGCAGAGTCCCACGTTTCCTTGGTGGACTCCAAATTCCATCTCTGGTACCCCAAAATGCCCCACTGAGCCCTGCATTGCAGCTGTGCGGCCTCAAAGGGTCTCCGGTGGACCCCCTAGGCATAGAAGGATGGAATCATGAAGGAACGCTCAGCCCTGAGTGGGCTGCAGAGGATCCCAGAGCTCCTGGGAAGTGCTGGGGCTCCAGAGCTTGAAGCTGGAAATGAGTGAAGAACTCTGTATTACACCTGTGGCATGGAAAGCCCTGGCAGGGTGGTTTCTACTGGGGGGCCTGGGGTGCACTGAAGGCCTCAGGAGGCTTTGTGTGTGATCATGAGGAAGCTTTTCTTGATGGAAATGGTTGTCAGGCATTGGAAGGGGCTGCCCGGAGAGGTGGTGGAATCCCCATCCCTGGAGGTATCCAAGACAAGACTGGACATGGCACTCCCTCAGTGCTCTGCTCTAGTGGACAAGGTGGGGATGGGTGCAAGTTGGGACTCGATGATGTTGCAGGTCTTTGCCAACCTAAATGGTTCTGTGATTGTATGATCTGGCCTGGGCAGGTGGAGGAGTCCTGTGGTGGGACTGTGGCCAAGAGGCCTCTCCTGGCTGCAGAAGAGCAAACCGTGGGCTTTTGTGTCCCTCGAGGGTCAAGGGAGGGCTCATGAGGTTCCAAGGAAGGGTGAGGGAGGGGGATGAAGGGGTACTGCGGGGATCAGGGGACAAACTGTGGCCTCTGGAGCACATCAAAAGGTGCCTTAGGGTGCTGAGGGGGCAAACGGCCCAGGCTGAGGCAGCCCCAGCACAAGAGAGGGTTCAGAGAGGACTTGTGGGATGAGAAGAGTTCTAGGCCTGGAGGGCCCAGAAGGGAAAATGAACAAGTTCTGAGGGGATGGGATGGAAATTCAAAGTGGGGGGACTCTTTGCCAAGATAGCCTTGCCCACGTCTTTCCTGGACTGCCAGTTGTCCCCACTGGCTGCCCCCAGGCAGCGCGGACGCCCACACTAGCCCCCCAGGGCAGAGCAGGGCTCTGAAGGTGCCTGAGCGAGGTCACACTGGGCAGGAGCTCCAGGGCACCTCTGGGACTGTCAGAGAGGGGCTGTTCCTGGACCCTTTGGGCTTCTGGGGGCTTCTTTGGTCTGATTTTGTAGAAGAGACACAGAACTGAGGCAAGAGCAGCAGGACTACAGCTCCTGGCCCCTCAGATGGACCAATGTGGCCGCTCAGCTGGGCTGTGCCAGCAGATGACAGTTCCCAGCTTGCTGAGGATCCCGGCCCTTCCAGCTGGATCCCCCTGGGTGCCATCCTCCCCCCCTCAGCCCTAAACCCCCCCAGGACTCCACCAGCCTGGCAGGGCCACTCAGCCACCCCTGGGGCAGCTCGGGGTGCTGCGCAGGGGCCTGGGGTGCAGTAAAGGCCTTGGGAGGGCTCCTGAGCAGCCCAGTGCTGGAAGAGCTGTTGAGTGGGGCAAAGCTCTTGCTGGTCAGTGGGAGAAAGAGAAAAGGTGACAAAAGCCATGGTTTCTGTTAAGCTTGAGCAAACGTTATGCATTTAATGTGACTGAAGGGCTCAGAGCCCAGGCTCTGTGGTGTGGGGACAGGAAAGGGATGTCCTGGGGGCACGCAGGGCTGTCTGAACATGGAGCTTCTTGAGATGTCCCAAGGAGACATGAGAGCAAAGTGGGGCCTGGAGACTCTCTGAGGGCAACTGAGTGCCAAGGGCTGAGGCAGACCTGTGTCCCCAGGGACACCCTGCCTGTTCCTGCCTGCGTAGTGGCTCCCTGGGACCTGTTGCTGGGGGCAGGTGCCATGTCAACAAGCACTGGGACCTGTGGCTAGCGGCCAGCAGCGTGTCACAGAGGGGCCCTTTGTGACACCCACTGCAACAGGTGTGCTCAGCACGACCATGGCCCACAGTGGGTCAGTGTCCGTCAGGACGGCGATCGGACAGGAGAGGAGTGCGGCGCTGGCGAGAAGCCCCCGACTGCAGTCCACGTCTTGTCCACGACCCCAGGTGGCCCCGTGGGAACTTGGCGTTTTGCTGAGGCGTTTTGCCGAAACGTTTTTACCTGAGGCATTTGGGCCAAGGCCTTTTGGCCGAGGTGCTTTGCCTGAGGCACTTTGCCTTGGCCTTTTGGCTGAGGCCTTTTACCTTGGCCTTTTGGCTCAGGCTCTTTGCCTTGGCCTTTTGGCTGAGGCACTTTGCCTCGGCCTTTTGGCTGAGGCACTTTGCCTTGGTCTTTTGGCTGAGGCACTTTGCCTTGGCCTTTTGGCTGAGGCACTTTGCTGAGGCCTTTGGGCTGAGGCCTTTTGGCTGAGGCCTTTTGCTGAGGCCTTTTGCTGAGGCCTTTTACCAGAGGTGATTTGGCCACGGCATTTTTCCGGAGGGTGTTCGACTCCACCATTCGGACGCCCTCCGTGGGCAGGCTCCCCTGTGTTCTTTGATTCACAGGATGGAGAAGAGACCCCCCGCCTGCCCCAGGCAGACCTGGATGGAAGACAGCTCTTCCCAGGAGAGCCGCTCTCCAGGTCTGCAGCTTCTGTCCTCCTACGAGGTGACCACCATGCAGCCCCTGAAACTCGGTGAGTGAGGGGCCCTGTGGGGCTGGGCAGGGCTGGGGCCCACCAGCACACCCTGTAGCACACCGGGATCCCACTTTCCTGGCCAGCTGACAGTGGGGGTCCTGGGGGTCAGCCATGATGTTGCCTGAAAGCTGGGACTGCTCAGGGCTGGAGCGTGGCCCCAGCACAGCCTCTCCCAAAGAAGTCATGTGTAGGTTTGGACCTGGCTTCCTGCCAAGTCCCCGAGACCCAGTGAAAAAGCTTACTTCCCAGAGAGAAAAAAAAAGACAAATAGCAGAGCTAGAGCAAAAATATAGATGTACATATATCTCAGTTATATCCAGTAAGAATACTCATCACGGCTGGGCTTCACAAATGAAGATTTGGGGAGGGCACTACCCAAGTTTGTTGCAAGAGCGTTGGTGGCTGTAAAGGCCAATATGAGATAGACATGTCCGGTTGCAAAAGGTACAGCAGAAAGACTCCTTAGGTGGTATATTCTGCAGGACACGATTCTTTCTGCATTGTCTTTTCTCCTCAAGGGTGATCCCGCGTGCGCTCTCAAAAGCATCAGCAGCATTATAGATGGTGTGTCTCCAGGCCTCCCGACTGGAGGCCAGAGTAGACCAGTGATGATGATAAATATGGCCAAGGCTGAGATGTTGTTTCAGGGAGTCCTTGTATCTTCTCTTTGAGGCTCCTCTCTTGCAACAGCCAGTGGCAAGTTCACCATAAAGCAGGATCTTAGGGAGGCAGTGGTTGGTCCTTCACCCTGGAGATGTGCCCTGCCCAGCCCAGCTGTGTTCTCAGCAACATGGCTTCAATACTTGTGACTGCTGCTTGTTCAAGAACAGATGTATTGGTCACATAATCTGACCAGTGGATGTTTAGGATTGTTCAGAGGCAGCATTGTTGGAAGCGTTCCAGGAGTCGCAGGTGGTGGCGGTAGATGACCCATGATTCAGATCCGTAGAAGAGAGTAGACAGCACTGTGGCTCTGTAAACACTGATCTCTGTACTTTTCTTCAGGTATTTGTTTCACCAAACTCTTTTATGAAGCTTTCCAAAAGCTCTTTATGCCTTTGCTAACCTGTTGTCTATCTCCCCATCAATCTTACCATCCGAGGAGATGAGGCTACCTAGGTATGCTGGGTTGTATCTGCTCCCAAATCACACCCAGGGACAGTTTCACAAAGGTGCAGAAGGAGGGTTGGATGTACAATTGAAGAGCTGAGTTCAAGGAATGTGGATGCATTTTTGTGGTGCTGGTTGAGCAGCCTGGGTCCATCAGAGTGATGTCAGACAAAATAACTTTGCTCCTGCAGGATTCTGTGTGTGGAATGTGTGAAATGTGGTTGTTCTTCTGGCAGGATAAGAAGTTTTGCTTTCATTGCTGTATCTAAAACAGGGTCTGGGGCTTGTGTAAACTGAATCCATCAGGCTCCATGAAACCATCCCACCTTCACCCTGCTGGAGTCTGTCCGGGTGCTCT